ATTCTCACTATTTTGGCTGAACAACTTGAGATTTTAGGAGAAAGAAAAACTGAACAGATAAGAAAGAAATGTACACACTTTTCCCCCGCTACAGCTTCAACAAAATCTTGCAGTTACTTAATTTTATGAAATAATATAGTTGATATTTATGAATGATTCAAAGTGATAAACATTTCAAAACTTACTTCCTAATTTATTTAATTAACATTTTTAAAATGTTTATTTTGACAGAGAGAGAGAGAAAGCAGGGCAGGGGCAGAGAGACAGAGAGGGAAAGAGAGAATACCAAGCAGGCTCTATGCTTGACAGTGTGGAGTCCAACGTGGGGCTCGATCTCATAAACTGTGAGATCACGACCCTAGCTGAAGTCAAGAGTCGGATGCTTAACCAACTGAGCCACCCAGGCACCCCTATTTCACTAACATTTTTAATGAACAAAAATATGGAAACAAGAGGCAATTGCAAAAGCTATTCAAAATTAAGAGGCAGAATGTTTTCCTCTGGTCCCACCTCTTCCACTTAATCCCAGACCAGTACCTGCACTTTGGTTTTGCTGCACCCTAGTCCCTAGGTCTTCATAAAGCTCTAGTTTACACAGATGATTAACAAGTTTTGCAAACCATGCACTATTGCTACTACATTTTATTTTCAAAAATGTAAGAACACACATGCCTCTGTTAGTTTCCTATTGCTGTTGTACCAAATTACCACAAATTTGGTTTAAAACACAAATCTATTATCTTCTAGTTCTGAAGTGTGTGTGTGTGTGTGTGTGCGCGCGCGCGTGCGCTCACGTGGTGTGCACATCAATGAAGCATTTGGTTCAACCAGAGAGGAGGCTTTATTCTAAATGTGAGCTGAGATTAGCTGGGGATGTTTCATAGATGAGATTAGTCTTGAAAGACCAGTGACAGTGTCTTAAAGACTGGTGGGCTTCTGAGGACAATCCAATCCCCACATGCAGTGGGGACAAAAGTAATGGTCATGTTTGCAGGGAAAGAACGGCTGCAGAGAACCAGTTATCTAGAAGTTAGGGCTTGATGGTGGGGGACACTCGGACCCTTCTGTCACTGGAGGAAAGAAAGGGGCCTGACTGGCACCGTTAGTAGTTTCTAACTAACGGTAGTTAGTAGCTTCTAGGAGAGGGTGAAAGACCCTCTCCTTGCACCGCATACTGAACACTTTTCTTTTGAGGCCCTCAAAGCAGAATGCCAATACCCACGATGCTGTGCAAAACAGATCTGGGAAAAAATACTCAGAAGATGGGGTGGAGGGGGTATCACAGGGGAAGTACTCTCTCATTCTGAGGATCACCATTGTTGTGGCTCAAGGGGACCCCAAAGCCTCAACCCACCGGCAAGGCGAGGAGCAGTCAGTCACCCACCCGCCTGGCCAACAGCAAGGCCACACAGACTCTGGGAGAAAGGAGCAATGACATGATAACAGAAGGCAGGTCTCCAACTATGGGCCCAGCTCCCAGGATAGCACTTCATTTGAAGGCCAACAGATGAAACATCCCAGAAGCCCAAGAAAGATTTTCACAGCTGTACACACATCTCTACCAGAAGACATCAGTCATCTGAATCAAGTTAACTAACCCCTTCTCCATGCATCCTGTGAAGTTAGCCCAACAGGCTTTGGTTTGGTAACAAGTAACCGTCTGCGTTACAAAGGTAAGTGAATAGTGACATCGAAGATTGTGAAATAAACTGTTAGCTGCGCATGGGCTCATCAAGTTTTAATTAATTAAGCTTAATTAGTTCCAAGTAATGACTTCTCACTTCAGCAGAAAACAACAAAAACCCAGCCTTTGATCTTGCCTTAGAATCAAAACTCAGGCTAATGGAAATGGGGATTTGCAAGAGATGAGATTTAGAACAGCGTCAGGGTTTTAGCCCTCATGTACTTCTTTCTGCCTACCTTTCTGCATGTGGGATAAAAGCTGCTCCCACAAGTATTAACAAAATTGTCATGAAATCATGTAAAGGAAAACATTAAGATTTAAGTGACTTTACTATTAAGATTCTGTCAATATAGAAGTCAAGCTACTATGGGGAAATGACAACATATTTTACACACTGTACAGTGTAAAAATACCATTACATACAATGCTTTAGTATCAGGAGTTAAATATCCAAATGACAAAATGATAAAATAGCCTTGCTGTAAGGCACCTTCCGGTTTGCTTTTTTTTTTTTTTAATTTTTTTTTTTTCCAACGTTTATTTATTTTTTTGGGGACAGAGAGAGACAGAGCATGAACGGGGGAGGGGCAGAGAGAGAGGGAGACACAGAATCGGAAACAGGCTCCAGGCTCCGAGCCATTAGCCCAGAGCCTGATGCGGGGCTCGAACTCACGGACCGCGAGATCGTGACCTGGTTGAAGTCGGACGCTTAACCCACTGCGCCACCCAGGTGCCCCTGCTTTTTTTTTTTAAAGTAGACTTCACGCCCAATGTGGGGCTTGAACTCACAACGCTGAGATCAAGGCTGAGTGACCCAGGCATCCCTCCAGTTTGCTTTCTTTTTTTAAAGAAAATATTTGAGGTGAGATTCACAGACACACAAAATTAACCAGTTGAAAGTGAATGATTCAGTGGCGTTCAGTCTATTCAGGATGTTGTGCGGACACCAGCTCTGTATCATTCCAAAAGATTTCCGTCAACACAAAGGGAAAGCCCATACCCTGTAAGCAGCTGTGTCCCATCCCCCCGTCCCCCTGCCTCTGCTAACCACCAGTCTGCATCTGCCTCCAGGCACCCACCTACTCTAGACATCTCATATAAACGTCTGGCTTCTTTCACTTAGCGTGCTCTTGAGGATCATCCATGTTGTAGCACGTGTCAGGGCTTTGGTCCTTTTATGAATCAAACCCTATGTGTGCACAGAACACAATTTGTGCATCTATTCATCATCTCCTGATGGACATTTGGGCTACCTTCTGGCTACTGCAAATACTGCTGCTACAAGCATCTGTGTACGCCTTTGTTACAGTGTACAAAGCATTTGTGTAAGTTTTTGTTGGTACAATGGATTTTAATTCTTTGGGGTATATACCTAGGAGTAGTTACTGGGTCACGTGGTAATTCTGCGTTGAGGATCTGTCAAACTGTTCTCCACAAGAGGCCGCAGCATCTTACATTCTCACCAGCGATGCATGAGGCTTCTAACTTCTTCACATCCTTGCCAACATTTTTTATTTTCTGTTGTGTTGATCATGGCCATTCTAGTGGGTATGAAGATGTAACTCACTGTGGTTTTGATTTCATTTCCCAAATGACTAATGCTGAGCACCTCTGCATGTGCTTATTATCTATTTATATATCCCCTCTGGGGAAATTCTATTCAAGTCCTTCGGCTGTGTTTTTTTTTTGTTTGTTTGTTTGTTTGTTTGTTTGAATTCGGTTGTCTTTTTAAAGTTGTAAGAGTTCTTTATACATTCCGGATACTAGACGCTTACCAGATATATGATTTGCAAACATTTCCCCATTTTGTGGGTGGTTTCTTCATTCTGTTGACAGTGTCCTTTGATGCACCAAAGTTTTAAATTTTGATGGAGTCCAATTTGTTCTTTTGTTGCTCATGTTTTTGGTGTCATTTCTAAGAATCCAAAGTCATGAAGCTTCCCTGGTTTTCTTTTAGGAGTTTATGCTTCCAGCACTTACGTTTAGGTCAATGATTTATTTTGAGTTAACCTTCTACACAATGTGAAGCAAGGGTCCAACGCATGACGTGCCTTCTGCATGTGGACATACACTTGCCCCAGCACGATCTGTTGAAGAGATTGCTCTTTCCCCAATGGATGACCATGGAGAACTTTTCCAAAATCAACTGGCCATAAATGTATGGGTTTATTTCTGGGCTCTGAGTCAAAAAAAAATTTTTTTTAATTCAGAACTTTCCATACTATAATTCTGCCACTGCTTTCTCAGATGAGGTTTAGCTTATAATGGCATATTAGGAACTTTTGTTTAAAAACTGAAAATTTTTTAATAAAAAATACACATCTGTGATGAATAATTTCATTATTAAACATGTCTGTAAAAATTAAAGATGAAAAGTAGCGTATACAACCTGGAAGTCAAAACCAATCTCTGCAAAATGGTATTTTATAAAGTAACATGTGATTTTACTGTTATTTACATGCTGTAATGAAGTCATTAATTTTAACTGCCTCCCATTTACAAAACCTTCCATTTTGCAATTACTTATGAACTTTTTTTACTCATGAACTTTATTTAGAATTACTTATGAACCATATTGAGAGGTTGATTCTCAATGTGGTTATTACATTAAATGTTGTTAATATCAGCCTTGCCAAATTACCTGTATCAAATTACTGTGCAATTCCAAGTAAGAGATGGATTATAAATCAAAAGAATGTTTTATTGTCTAGAACTTTTTATACATTTCAAAGTGTCCTCACTTGAACCATCCAATGACTTTAAAACTTCTCTTGGCACAATGGACTTAAATAGCAATACAGTGTGTTATCTTTTGGAAATTAAGATCACCCTTATTTTAGACCCAGACTGGGCATTCCTCCCAAACAGCCCCTTCTCCTACATTAGTTTTTCTGTGAAGTTCTGAATGTCATTTCCTCTTAGCTCCCAGGGCTCCAACCACCTAGGCTAAAGGGAACAATGGGAAGGACTTCCCGGATCTCAGGTCTCCATAACCGAGGATCAATTACAAAGCGCTGGGTCTCTAGACTCAAAATCTCTAATGAGAACATTAAGCCCCCCTGCCAGAACATCTAGAAGAGTTAGTTCTCTTTTATCTTGAATCCCCTCTGCCTACAAGTTGTAAACAGTGGATATTTAGCTCCAACACAGTTTATTTTAGATGCAAAGACAACCTTGTTTTTATTGACCCAAAAAAAGAAAAAAGAAAAAAAAAAAGAAAAGAAAAGAAAAGAAAAGCCTTGCCCAGAAAACTATGGGTTGAAAAGTTTGGGAAGCACTGATAACTGTAGTCTAGAAAACACGTGAAAGACTTTACCTTTAGCTGGCCGGTGATGTCGCGGCAGCTGACTGTCTTACCATGCAAGAGACTAAGGTTCAGGGTCAGACCAACGGTTCTGACGGGCTGGACACATGGTTGAAGTGAGACACCAAGGAAGAGACGGCCAGCCCAACCCCTCACACAGCAGCCCTTCCTGGTTAATCCATGGGGTGATAATGACACTGACTGGCCTCATCCTGCCAATGAAGGGCAAGGCACTGCAGTGACGGCGCCTAGAAATGAATAGGAGTGATTGGGGATAAAAGGGGGAGAGGGGAAAGGTGGCCAGGATGAAGAAATGAATAAAACTCCAAATTTCTGTTACAACTCACTGTCATACCTATTACTCTAGTATCTAATGACAGGGAAATGGAAAAAAAAAAGAAAAGAAAAGAAAAGAAAAAAAACAAAGGGAAAAAAAGAAAAATCGCAAACTATAAATTTATGCAGCATTCTAAGAATTGAGGTCTGTATCCTACAATATGACTACATAAACTAGAGCAAGAGCTTGATCTGATATAGTTCAAAAACCTATTGCAAAGAAAAGAGTATTTTTTTTAATCATCAGCGTTTCTAAGTTCTGACAACTTCATTTTATTGGGTTTTTATTATGACACAAACTCAGTCCATGCTATTGAAACAGAGCATACTTACCAAACAATCCCTTGGGCTCCAGAGCCAATTGGTTTCAACTGCTGGTAACGTTTCAGGACAGTGAAAGTTGAGTCTGCCACTTGCACACTGTAAAACTGACTATCACATTTACTGTCACTCATGATGTAGTATCATAGAATATTCCAAAGAGCTGGTACAGTGGTCAGGTTCCTTAAAAGAGAAACAGAATGAACATGCACTCTTTCTGAGATGATACAGGCACAGCTCACTTCATAGGGTTGCAAGTTTATTGGCATGTAAGACAACGTGGCTGTAAGTTGATAAAGTTGGTTGGACCAAGTTCTGAACTTAAGCAAAGTGCAAAACAAACAAACAAAAAAATGCAACGACATTTCAGAGGCACAAGACCATCATGAAAGGAAGGAACATTGAGGCCCCACATGACCATGTTTTAAGGGAGCGGACTAGAAACTAACAGCCCTTCTTTTATTTGTCCATTTTTGCTAGCCATGACAGGATTATGTCACTGAGTGATTCTCATCAGCTCGCCTCCTTTGGAGCTAGCTTATGCCGGGCTGCCTCAACCAGGGATGAAGGCACTGGGGAGAGGTTTCCAAGGGATTCTGTCTACAGTTCCTGCAGAAAACACAAGTGGGCCAGTCTTCTTCTAAGCCAACAAATTCAGGTGAAATGATGGAGCAGAAAGCAAGTCCTACTATATATCTAGATTGTAAAAGGAGGAAGTGATGGAACATTGGGGTGCTGGGCCTGGAGACATGGGTGTGTGGCCATACATGCCCACTGCGCACACTGAGGCCCCACATTCCCCAAACCCCACATCACTGGTGGGCTCAATACAGACAGTTGTAGACAGAGAACCATTGTAACCTATAGTCATTAACATGGATGCTCTGACAATTATTCATGATAAACTAGTATAAACTGGTGGTTTAGGCAGCCACCTTTTGGTGGCTTAGGCAGTAGGCTGAGATCCCCACCACGCAAGAGCCTATGTGATTTTATATAGAAAACAACCAAACACAAATCAGCAGTTACACTGATTTGGATTCCTGGCTCTTGTCTGAAGATGTTTATTTAGAAGTCATAAAACTATTTCTTTTGCTCTTTTTAAAAAAATTAAAAAGCCAACAATAAAATCATAGGGGTAAACATTATATACTATTTAAAAACATGGAATTTAAATTTTATTCTACAGCTTCAGCAAATTCCTGTTTGTTCTACCATCGAATATTTAATGCCTACCTGCTAAGTTCTCTGGAGTGATGATTTGTATTTCAATACAGTGATGCCTAGAATTTCCATTAAACATGGAAATAAATTCATGAATAACAAGCCTAAACAAAGAATTTAAATCAAATGAATAGCTTCTCCAACTGACCACTGCTTCACCCCCGCTCCCCCCCTCATCTTTTTAAAGTTTATTTAAAGTTTATTTTTATTAATTTTGGGAAAGATACAGAGAACAAGTAAGGGAGGGGCAGAGAGAGAGAATCCCAAGCAGGCTCCATGCTCAGCATGGAGCTCAACTAGGGGCTCAAACCCATGAACCCACGAGATCATGACCTGAGCCAAAATCAAGAGTCAGATGCCCAACTGACTGAGCCATCCAGGCACCCCTCCCCCTCTTTTAACCATTCTCAGGGCAGTGGCTGAGGCACAGCTCTTAGTACCACCAGCAACTGTGATTGAATGTGCTGTACACAGGCTGGGGAGTGCCTCCGGGAGGCCAGCACTGCATTAGATGAACCAACACACTGCTCATGACAACCTACAGTGGGATGATCAGCCCCTGCTACACTGTGAGCTAAACAGCCTGGCTGAGCCACGCTGCGGTGAGGAGGGGGCCCTAAGCTCCAGGGCGGTGAGGGCAGGTCTGTGTTGCTTACTGTGGCATCTCACACTGCTGGGGACAGGACCACAATAGAAGCATTCAATAAATTTTTGCTGCTCTGACCCATAATTCAGTACCTAAGATTCCCTGACGAGGCTGCTTCATTTTACTGACATCTGAAGGAATATCTATTTCTAGAGATTATTTTTTTTTACAGTTTTTATGGGGCTGAGACAATTCAACTCAACGTTTATGGGGTGCTTTTGTATAAGAAGTGGTAAGTAACATAGGTGATAAAGCAAGATCAGTTCGTCTTAAAGCAGCTAGTTGGGGGAATACTGTAACACAAGTTGCAACACAAGTTATAATAACATAAGGGCATAAGCAAAAAGTAAACCAAGGCAAAAGAGGTCCTACCCTTTGGCAGGGGTGCAGAAGACAAGGAGAGCTTCATGGAGGAGGCTGCATCTGGATCTGCCAGAGACAGACAGCAGAGGTACAGAGCTCGAGCTGACTGTGCTCAGACATGGTGAATTGCTCAAACTGGCTCTTGGGGTACAAGTGCAAAGGTTCAGAGATGGACTAGGTGAAAAGGCAGGTAGCCATTACAACCTGCTGTTTCTTTGCCTTACTGGAATACACCTGCACTGCCAGTCATTCAAAAAGCACTTCCTGACACCACTGTGGACAAAGTCCTGTGCAGGAACAGCCAGTGTGCCTGCCCTTGATGAGCTCACAGAGAGTGCACACTGCGGGCATGTTCAGGAAGAGCCCCGATGCAAGGAGATCCCTAAACCGAGAAGGACAGAGAAGGCTCTGAGCTGTGGGGAAGAGAGAGAGCATGTGCAGAGAGGTGGAGGTGCATTCTGAATGTGAGAAGTCATTTAAGAGTTAGTTTTGCTGGGCAGTGGGAGAAAGAAGCTGGAGAGAGGAAACCAGGCCAGATCACCATGGGCCCTGGAAGCTGCTGGGAGCCATCTGGACCTGGGCCCGAGGGCTGTGGAGCCATCAAAGCAGAGAGGCTGGGGCGCCTGGGTGGCGCAGTCGGTTAAGCGTCCGACTTCAGCCAGGTCACGATCTCGCGGTCCGTGAGTTCGAGCCCCGCGTCGGGCTCTGGGCTGATGGCTCAGAGCCTGGAGCCTGTTTCCGATTCTGTGTCTCCCTCTCTCTCTGCCCCTCCCCCATTCATGCTCTGTCTCTCTCTGTCCCAAAAAAATAAATAAACGTTAAAAAAAAAAAAAAAGCAGAGAGGCATGTGCTCTGGCTTGCTTTGCTGAGGGGTCATTCAGGAAGCTGTGAAAGGGATAGACTGGGGTGGGCAGGACTGAAGGCAGGGAGGCCCAGCAAAACATGGCAGGGTTGTGGCGGATGGGGAAAAGAAGTAAATGCACGGCATGGAGGAAGAATGTGCATGACCTGTGCTGCCCAGGAGAAGATGAGGAGGAACGCAGGTGAAGCAGCTGGATGTGGGCAGGAGACGCATGCAGTCTGCAAATCTGGCTTCAGACAGGTAAGTCTGCAGTGCCTCAGTGCCTGAGAGACAGGCAGCATGACAGCCACAGGCTGCTGACATCCTCCAGATCCTCCCTCCTTTGTTTCAGGAACAGAAGCCTCCCTATGTGAGCTGGACAAACGGCTGCCCAACTAGAGAGGACATCTGGCTGCTTTTTGGCAGCCAGGTGTGGCCAGATGACCAACTTTTGGCTGATGAGATGTAAGCAGAGTGATGTGTGCCATTTCAACATCCATCCATCCATCCATCCATCCACCCATCCATCCATCTTATCTTCCTTCCTTCCTCTCTCTCTCTCTCTCTTTCAAAAGCTGCTTGCTGTGCAACTTATCTTTCTCCCTTGCTGCTGGCTGGGGGAACAGCTGTCACAGACCCAGAGATGGCAGTCACATGTTGAAGCTGGTAGAGCTGCCCACTGGCCAGAGTCCTGAATGACCTTGTGGCCCAGAGCTGCCCCCCATTCTGGTCCACCTGCCCACACTCAGGCTGGTACAAACTAATCTCAACCTTGTTGAGCAACTCTGGAACTCTCTCTCTGCTACAGCTGTTGTAACCTATACTTTGACTGGCACACGATTAGGTTAGCTTTTGTGAATTTGGGGAGAATTTCACATCATTAGATTAGAGAATTAACATATTTTCATCTCAAGATTTAAAGTAATTTTTAATTTTTTTAAAGTTTATTTATTTATTTTGAGAGAGAGAGAGAGAGAGAGAGAGAGAGAGAGAAGAGAAGAGAAGAGAGAGGCAGAGGGAGAGAGAGGGAATCCCAAGTAGGCTCTGCACTGTCAGTGAGGAGCCTGATGTGGGGCTCAAACTCACCAACCGTGAGATCATGACCTGAGCCAAAGTCAGATTCTTAACCGACTGAGCCACCCAGGCGCCCCTAGAGTAACTTTTAAATTAAAATAAGTTGCCTTTAGTAGGCAGAAAAAGCTACCTAAGTGAGAAGCTGTCAAAGCCATCTTCTCCATCAAACTTGGGCTTTGTGAACATGAGAAAGCACACAAGAAAGCCAAGTAATTTAGCTATTAATGAAATCAACTGTTGAGATTATATTTCAACAGAATGGATGTCAGCTGGGTTTTAGAAAACAGTTTACAAATTGGGAAGTACTATATAGGAATTCTTTGTACAACCACATTATCAACACACTGAGGTACAGGCACTGCCTTCACTTCCCTCACCAGTGGGTGCTGGTTCCGTACCTCGGCTCCAAGCAGTGGGACCCCGTCTCTGCCCACGCTGCTCTGTGCTGTGCAGCCCCGGCCAGGCTGTGCTGTTACTCAGTTTCTGCAGGTCTGCCCATGTCTCCCTCCCCCAAGGCTGGTAGCACCTCAAAGGCAGGGAGGGGCTTTCTTCCCTCTCACGTGTCGATAAACTTAAGGAAATGTCCAATGCCCACCAATGATCCACTGAGAAAGCTTCTAGGGGGACACACTCTGCTCCTTGGGTTCTTCAGATCTGAGGCTGGTGGGCAGAGCCCAGGGGGAAGGAGTCAGCACAGCCTTTGATGAAGCCATCTGGCTCACGTCCATACCCTTCCCACTTTACCATGCTGCTTCAATGAATCCTGGTTGAATGAAAGGCTCTAATCTAAAATCCCTATTTGTCTGGGGGTGCCTGGGTAGCTCAGTTGGTTGAATATTCAGCTTTTGGTTCCTGTTTAGGTCATGATCTCATGGTTCCTGAGTCCGAGTCCCGCATTGGGCTTTGTGCTGACAGCATGGAGCCTGCTTGGGATTTTCTCTCTCCCTCTCCCCTTGCATCTCCCTCTCTCTC